TTTTATAAAAATAATATAAGAAAATAAATAAATAAAATTAATTATAATAATGTAATTACACCCTCATTTTTATTTTTAACAAAGAAAGTTTATATTATTTTTTAAATAAAAAAATTAATCATTTTGTCTAATTAGAAAATTTTTTCTTAAGATAATATATTTTTTATGATAAATTAATGTAAAAAGTAAAAATTAAAGAATCACTTAATGTTATTACAAATAAAAAATAAAATTGAAACTTATTAGATAAATATTAATTAAAAAATGTAGCTAAAAATAAAAAAATTAAAAAAGATAAATTTATCAATAAAATTAAAAAATTCTAATCTGTTAGCGGTTTGGTATAAAAAGTTACATAAATTAATTTTTTTCAATCCGTTAACGGTTTAGATCTTAACTGCTATTTGGACCCTAACTGTTATTTGCTAGTCTTAAGCTGTTAAATAAAAATTTTTACCAAACACTTCATTTATAGTAGTTTCGAAATATATGAATTTACCGAACATTTATTTTTAATAGTTTGGGCAAAACCATTACCTTTTATCTCAAAACCACTTTTATCTCAAAACCACTATACCAAATGGTCCTAAATCTAATAACTCCTCACATTTTTCCCACCAATTAAGTAATTTAGTGGTAAAATTATCTATACTTGTAATTATGTATTTAGAGTTCAATCTCAGTCTCTGCATCCAAAAAATAATAATAATAATAATAATAATAATCCCATTATATTTTTCTTATTACTGGATGTATTAATTTTTTTCAATTTTAATCATGTAATTAATGAGATTGATCAAATGAAAATTGATGATTTTATTTAAAATAGTAACTTACAAAAGTAGAATTAAAAATATTAAAAAATAAATTATTACTAAAATCTCTAAAAAATTTAAAGAATATATATTCTAAGAGCAATGCTAGGGGCACTTGCTTCCTGCACTTTCCGGTCAACACTTCCTCTTTTATTAGGCCACGTTATTTTGGTTTCGAGAGGTTGGGCCTGAAAGCTTGAAAGAAGCTTACGTGGCCCGATGAAAGGGGAAGTGTTGGCCGGAGAGTGCCAAAAGCGACTGCCCCTAGCACTGCTCATATTCTAAAAATTATATCATTTTCATAAATTTATTATAAAAAAATTTTAAATACTTTATTTTTAAAATAAGAAGGAAAATGTTTCATTTTTTCTCCCGTGCAATGTCCTAATACCCAGCAGCATCATTATAATTTTTATGGTGTTTTTACACCATAATTACATTTAATCATATACAATTGAAGAAAATATTAAAAAAAAAAAATACTGGACTAACCAACCACGTACATTAATCATACAACATTGTTTGAGGCAACACAATAATTTCTACCACAAAATAATTCGAATGATTGATATTAATGGTTTAGTGACAGTCCAATGAACAATTTCCTTACAACCTCCGCACACTGGTTATTTTGGGTGCAATCATTTACTGCTTTCCTTTATTGGGTTAGCGGTTGGTGCTACAGCTTCCCATCACCACAACATTATCAGTATCAAAGGAATTAGATAATTTATTTTTTATTAAAATAGTATTTGACTATCTAAATTGTATCATATTACAAAATATAAAACATTAGATGAGGGGTCTTGATTTTATGACGCCTCCATCATCCAACACCCAGCTTTTGCGTTATAGTGTTAATTTGAACTACAAAACTGTAGTTTTTCTTTTTTAAAGTAAAAAAACAAACTCCAACATTTGGAAATGTCTTTCGGTATAATTTCGCATTCTTTTCTAATTAAACTAAAACAAATATAGATATATATTATAGGGAACCCAAAAAAAAGGAGGTACATTGTTGGTAAACTTAGGACTAGAAGTTTGAGGAAGTAATACATATTTAATTCAATGGAGTTATTCTTACCTTTGCTTTTAGTTCCTTTATGTGCTCCTCATACAACTAGGCCTCTAATATAGGACATAAGATGTTTACTCTATGTACTTTCATGCAAACAAACTCAATTTTCAAGTATTGTCTAAGAGAGTTGTGTGTAGGTAGATGCATGACATAAAGAAGAATCTAGTATACTAAAGAAATTTAGATCAATGAGATGAGGAACGTCAAGCCAAAGTCCCTTACATGTAGGTAGATGGCACAATGAATTTCTTACAGGGTATCTTAGAGACTCCAACCCGGCATCCCACAACACGGAGGAGACCTTGGACCACATAAATGGTTTAAGTAATGTGGCTTGCAGCGCTATCAATGAGTATAACCTAACGAGGAGGCGAGTTTGAGGAAATGTGACTGTCGCATGTCTCTGAGGGTCCAATGACGGTACAAATACTCTATAAATATGCCAAAAAGCCCATTTGATAGTAACTCAAATGCTAATTTTCCATCAAAAGTTGAAGTCTTGTAACCATTTGTTGATTCATTAATGTAACCACTTTTAACCTAAATGCAAATCTAAAGGTTGCAAACCTCTCTTGCCCCAATGTTTTTCAAGCTTTGTACCAGCTGGCTACCAATCTCTTGAAGTTCCTTAACGGAACATGAGCCCACCAATCCTTGACCCAACAGCTTCCTGTGTAACGTCGAAATTTCAAACTTAGAAATCCTCTCATCAGGATGAGGTGAAGTAACATAACATAAGCATTAAATCAATATTGAACCTTTTAGAAACTTCCAGGAACTCAATCTTCTTAAACATATTTGCTGTTTCAATCCTCAGGTGCCACACTTCGAAATTTTTTCGAGGAAACCGTAAGTACTATTAGCAGCTGTGGGCTAGTAATTGATTATAACTCATGAAGTGTACTGTTTGATGAGAGCAATGAAGAAGTAATGTAGATTATATATAGAGAAATCAAATCCTATGTATCGAAGAATCAAGCCACAAAAACTAGCTAAAGCAAAAGATAGCATGGATTTGATTAATGCTTGCGAAGACTTTGCTCAAATTGATGAAGTATTATAACCATATTTTGGACAGCCCCGTTGGCAACTTGTTTATAGGAGACTAGAATAAGCACTTATCTGAGCTTAAAACCTCTTCGCTTCCTAAATCATGGAATTAGAGTCCAAAACCATGATAAAAACAACAAAAGAAGTAGACTAGCAACCAAGTTAACTTCTAAGACGATGATTGGTGCATTATTTGATTCAATACATATCACTACCCACTCATTAAGAATTTATTATTTTTCGATTTGAATTCAAAACAGAAAAAATTTCACTTGCAAAATTTAATACCTGAACCGATAAGTGTTGCTAGATGTATTAAACCGGAGGGTGTACTAATTATCATCCCAACTTTTATTCTAATCTACTAAAAGTTAAGTATGCATCACGATGTTTAACTCAAATTGTATAAGGATCCCCCACTCAAACACAAAACCTTACGATATACTTTCTTAACGATAGTTGTTTCAGTTTTCTATGAAAAGCAATAAATTTTGAACTGCCCTTTTCTTGGAAAAAAATTCATGGAAAATTAATCTGTACAATGAAAGCTGGGCGTCTAACCTGCATGTGTTGCTCCTTTTTAGGCTTCCAAGTTGCGATTTCTTTTGTATACATAAGAGTATCGTTCAATGACGTTTGGCTTGCTAAAGCATTTCACAAAAGGAGACTTAAAAATATATTGTCATCAATTCATGTTATCAGTTTCCTAGGAATGAATGAATGAATAAAACAGAAAGGAAAGCAGATATATCCTATCAGCAGGCAATTTCATTAATTAATTAATTAACAATTTGGAAACAATTTCATAAATTAACAAGTGCGCAAGCACTCAAAACCACAAAAGTTCCAGGCTCTCCCTAGTTACTGAAGAGCAGCATAACAACATTACATACTTTTTTTAGATGAATCAAAAATATCATTAGTAGGAGTGGAACGGGTACTCCACTCTTAAACTTACAACCACAAGCCGTCCATATATAGAATCACATACACAAAGTTCAGCTTTGCTAACATTAAGACTAAGACCTCAGCTACTTCAGCAAGGATTTCAGCGTTTCCTTCAAATTTCCTTAGCACAAAGTTGTGAGAAAAAAACACCAGTGATGTTAGGAGAACACACAACATTACATACTTTTCTCAACCAACCATCTAAACCTAAAACATGAATATGCCAAGAATGAAGATGCATCCACAGAATGGCCACCTCAAACAAGTTATTACTTGGACTATATACCTAAAACACAAGAATAACAGATTATAGACATTTAATTTGAATGTAGTAAGGATAAATAATTTTATTATTATTATTTATTTGATTTTTTTAACTAATTCTAAACACACACAAGTAATATTTTTCTTTAATCTACCACCCAATTAATAGATGCACCTCAAGTAATGATATGTGCTTCAAAAAGAGTCAAAATGTCTAATACATTAGATTTTTGCTTTTTCTAAGTAAAATTTTCTGTTTGCTACTTATAGCATTATTGAGTGATTTATATCATTCCTATACCTCTCACTATTGGCCTGAACGCCTGAACACACAATTTGATCACATATATGAATTAAACACTCAAAATAGAGATTATATAAATAGAGTTAGGATCCTCCTTCCCATAATTCTTACACACATTAGTTATACAAAATTTGAACCATTCATCTTTTTGCTATGAATGGTTCTATGAATGGTTGAGATTTATAACAACTTTTAAAATGAAAAAGACAATTACATTAACAAAAAAGGATAAAAAGTGGATAAATCTTAACTATTCATAATGGAGAGATTACTAGTTTTTGTCTAAGAGTTGTTTGTAAGTGAATTCTAACTCATAAATATATAACAAAAAAGACAAAAACATAAATATTTACCCAATACTTCAAAAGTAAACGCTTAGCAATAAGTAATTCATAGTAAAGAATGAAAATCTAATAAGCTTAAAAGCATGCAGCTAAGAAAATAAAGTAGATTTCTATGCCTCATAAAGGCATACATTCATATATTCCTTCAAACACACACACGGGCAACATTTATTTTAATTAGCCATGCACCAATGAAATTCATAGACTCGCATCTATAAGATATATACTACAAGACATTAATGATTTCATAATTATTTTATGCAGTGTCAAAGTTTTATAATGAAGATTGGAGGGTTTAACACAATTCCCAGAACATGTGATACCATACACCATATATATAAAAAGAAAGGATGCTAATATAAACATCTTTCAATTCAATATACTCTACAATACACTCCTTAAAAATTATTGTTTTCTAAATTTGAATTAAAATCAGAAACACTTAAATTATAAATTTTAATGGCTGTACCAGTAGGTGCCAGTTAAGGTGTCGAACCAGAAGGTATACCAATGATTTGAACACCCTCTAGTTCAACAAAAACCAACATCTAACCAATTTAATCATTAAAATATAATATAAGTGCAGCCGGTTTAACCGGTTCTCTCATGTTGTATATATAGCTGCATCTCTTAAGTTTTTCCGTTTTTAATTCTAGACAAAAAATATATATATATTTTTTAATGAGTGTTGTAGAATGTGTTAAATTTATATAAGTATCCTTTTAAATAAAGAAAAGGACAAAACTAGATTGAGATTTAATATCTAATAATTAACATTTAAATTGAATTGGTTGCAGGCTAAAAACAAAAATTACAGTTTCTAGTTCCTTAGCAGCAAAGCTTGCGGAAACCGTAATAGACATGTTTGAGAAAGGCTAAATGCACCCAAATGGATTTGTTCCAGCAGCAAAGCATATCATGAGAGATTGAGAGTCATTCTTGATATTTCATCAAAAGAAATGAGCTCAAGGACAAATAGGGGGTAAAAAAAAAAAAGCAACAAAAATGATAAGATTTCCTAAAGGAACTAAGGAAGTACAGACCCACATAATAAGCATCTGTAAAATTTATGGAAGAAACCTTGTAATACAGAGAGGATTTTAAAACACAAAAGGATTAGATACGATTGACTAAAAACAGAAAAGAGGAACAACAACCAAACTTGCAAAATCTTTTAAATGATTAACATATATAGTAAAAAGAAATAATCAATTGAAGAACTTTGTTAATATAATTAAAGAGAACATACTTGGAGCTTGAGAACTCAAAGTCTTCCTTTTTTGTGAGAAGATGATAACTGCAACATCGACATCACAGAGAACAGATAGCTCAAAAGCCTTCTTAAGCAGCCCGTTTCGACGCTTAGTGGAGGGCACTAGTCCGTTTGCTGCATTCTCAATCCTTTTCATCACAATTTTTCCTCTCACCATTTTCTACTTCATCAGCAGAGCCACGTCAATCAGTAACTTTACAGGAAAATCAATTTTCATTTTTTTTAAAGAAAAAATGACACAAATACTCACCAAAATTGAGCAAAGTCCCCAGCTACGCAGTGTGTAGCTACTACTAAAGTTTCAAACTTTGCATTGAAAAATTACAAATTTTAAAGAAATTAATAATGGCAACCTAAAGGAAGGGCTTAAAAGCTCAAAGGAAAGAGAAAAGGAAGAAAACACAGAAAGAAAATAGCCTAAATTTTCTAGGAGAGACAAGTTTCAGCCTTTGTGCAAAGAAAAGAAAATTTGAAGACATCAATAATAGCAGGCCATAGTCCCATAGAAAGGTTTCATCTTTCAAGGTGCAAAGGAGGAAAAACAAAAGGAAAATCACTGGAAGAAGCCACAATTTTCTAGCAAACCGAACAGCAACCACCCTAGAAAATTATTGGGAACAAAGGGTGGAATCAAAGAAGGGAGAAGATCAGAAACCCTAGAAAGATAAGCAGAAACGCAGAGGATCTACTGATTTTTGATGTGGCACTCTCTTTCTCTCTTTATATCCAAAACACAAAAACCCTCATTTTCTTTTGGAAAAAAATACCCAGCCGTTTCAACCATTATTATACAGTGCACAATTAAAACCATTTAATGGGGTAACCCAAGACATTCGTACTCCCTGTAAAGCAAATGGACTGCAAACACCTAAATTTTTTTTTTTTTTTAAGTAAAAATAGTATTACATCTCAACGTCTTCGTACAATGATCTGCGCAACACGCCAATGGTGGAGGCCCGCCTTGAACGGATTGGCTAAAACCATTAACTTGAGAGGAAATTTTTTCACCCTTGCTTTCAAGTGAAAATTTGAGAAGAAAAATTTTTCTTCTTCGTTCCATAAAAAAATGGAAAGAAAAAATAATGTAGGCACAGTTAATCCCAATATAGGATCCACATATAAGTAACTTTTATATTGTAGAGTAAGTTTAAAGTTAAGTTTTAAAGTTAATATTTGAAAAATTAATTTTTTTAATCCAAAGGTGCTCTCATAAAATCTATCTTGGAATATGCATTAGTTCATTAAAAAGAAATTAATCTCAAAATGTATCAATATTGACTTAAAAATATCTTGATTATAAATAAAGAAAAATATTATTAAGACAATCATTTTATCTCATCTTTTTATACAACCTAACGTGTTATTAAAATGATTGATTCTTTTAATTTATGTGAAACTGGTAATATTAAATGTATCTACTCATTTAATGATATACAAAAGTTGTATAAAAAAATAAAATAAAAAATTATCCCAATAGCATCACCCATAAATAAAAAAATGTAGGCACTATTAATTAACAAAAGTCTCACTAAACACATATTAAATTAAATATCTTAATTTAAGTTAGTTTTAAATACTTGCAATACTAAGTAATTAATTCCTAATGTACAAAACAAATGACTTCAGGTATTAATAAAGGATATGTGTATATATGATAAGTAATACAATGAATCAATAAAACTTCAAAAAATTAGGTGCACAGGGGTTTTATTGTATTATTGGATGACCATCCGAACTTGTGTGCTAGAATAGTAAATTTGTGTGCTAGAATAGTAAACATTTAGCTTAAAGTGATAGTAAAATACAATATATATGGATAGAAATACTCTTTGTACTTTAATTTAATAAAAAATTGGATAATAAAATAAATAAAATGCAAAACTTCAAAAGAAAATTTGTGTAATTAGAACTGTATGGTAAGTATTACATGGGGTGGGCACCTCAAATCTAATAATTTTAATGTTGCAGTATGTCATAGCCCATATTACAAAAGCAAGAACTTATGATTAAACAAAGAATTGTAGGATGCTACTCTCGATGTAAGAGTTGAAGCATCCCTTGTATTCATACAAATAATTTTAATATCTCCATTTTGCCTTTCAAAAATAGAAAAAAGAAAAAGAAGAAGAAGAAGAAGAAGAAGCAAGAACTCATAGAACTTTTGTGTGTAGGTATTAATAAGATACAACTTTTTTCTATTTATTTATAACTATGAGAATTGGTATATAATTATGTATGTTAATATTGTTTGGTTGAGTTAATGCACATTAATTTAAAATTTTTAAATTTGGGCCAATATCAGAATTCAAATCTGTTAAATACCAAATGCATAACTTCTACTAATATAACCCCCTTCTCTAGCCTTGGTTTCTCCTTTTACTCTTGTTTTTGTTTCTCCCTAACCAAAGTTGCCTCTCTCCCCTTTAGTACTTAAGGTAGATGGTTAAAAATAGGAGTTGTTTCCGCTCTTATGAGGGTTTTTTCATCTCATGAGAAGGTTCCTCCCTATTTTTTAAAGGTTTTTGCTTTAACTTTCTCCATACTTTTTATTAGAATCATTATTGAAGGTATGATTGGAGATGGGATCACTAACCAAATTCTTTTGTCTAACCAATTTACTTCCATCTAAATGGATTATGCTAGAATATGGCTTAATTGTCAGATTTCAAGTTTGGATCTGATTGTGATATTCATATAGGTATTAAATTATTTGATTTTGCATTTTTATGAATTTTATAAGTGTAATAGTTCTAGTGTATTAATTCATTCAATTTGGCCCTAACTCTTATAATTTTCACATATCAATGAAATTTATTTCTCATAAAAAAATCAAACAAAATAATATATTACTCTTGTAGATGTATCAACCTATAATTAGTATTTTATAGAACTCATGATCGTCATATTGACAATCTTCTGTTTTGATAATGAATTTATTATACATGAAAAAAAACAATGAATTTACTTAAAAATTACAATGTTTTTTTAACTTGTGTTCTTATGACACAAGAGTGTAATTATTGTATTTTTTAATATCAATTAGTATTAAAAAATACAAAAATTATGATTAATTTCACTTTTAATGTCACACAAATTATTTTAATTAAATAGTTATTTAAATAAATATCAACTTTTATTTTTTCTATATTAATTAATATAAAAGGGTATAATAATTATACCATTAACTTATACTAAACATAGGTTAGAAAAACCCAAAATTAAAATAAAAAGCTCACTCTACTCAACTTTAGTTGGCCTAATTAATAAGGATTTACTAATTAATTAACAAAAATTTCATATTTATCTAGTTAACCACTACTAAAATGTGTTCTTATTATATAGTACATGTTGTAATTATTTTCTTAAAATAAATGTAAAATACAAATGAATGCATTTAATGACATCTTAAAAAAAAAAAAAGTGAATAACTTATTTCAAATATTTCAAATTCAAAATTAAGTCAATTAAAATTAAATAGAGAAAATACTTAAATTGAGAATGAGGTGGGATAGTGAAATTAAAAATTTAGAAAAATAAGATCTTAAATGAGGGTTTCTCAATATGACTTCAAAATTTTGCTTATATTGGAAGTGCCGAGCTGGAGCTGGGTTTTGCCATTTATAGGTGGATTGGTCTTGGGTTTCTTCGTCTCAACATGTGCAGTTTTCCTTTTTGGGCTATCAATTTGGAGGCTGGTGGAGCCACTTGTTGAGGGCTGATATTGGAATGAATAGCCTGTAATTTCTTTTCTTCTTTTGGTAAAATCTAAGTCTAGTAGCTTTTTTTTTTCGGCCTTCTAGATCTGGTAACTTACTTGCATCGTTCTTTTTCAGCCCGATGAAAGTAATTTTTAAAGGAGTTTTTTCCTTGTACCTTAAGAAAAGTTAATTAAAAGTCTTAAAAAGATAAATATTGGTATTAAATTTATTATCTTTTTAATTAAATTTACTCCCATAATAATCATTCTAAAATTAACGTTAACTTTTATATTTTTT